GATTAAAAAAATTAAAAACATATTTACAATTCATTATTTAACAATAATTCAACAAAAAAACTCAGTTAACCTCGAAAAGGGAGGAAAAAAGTAAAGGAATAATGTGGAGCGGGAACATAAGGAGAAAAGGAAAGGAGTGTTGAGGGAAAGCGAAGAAGGGGAAATGGAAATAGAGGAGGAGGGATGGAAAGAGAGAAGGGGGAATGGATGGGAAAAGAAGGAGCCCTGGACCACCTCCCTCTCTCTCTCCCCCTAACAGTAGCCTTTTTATTTTGTTTCTCATTTTGCGAGTGAGACCTGTGCCTTCCCATGCAATCATTCTATTGCCCCTTAATGGATGGCTCATGCTCCGGCACTGCATAATACATTCACCTACATGTACATGTACATGTACATGTAGGTTGGACCAGCTCTTATATTATTTAAAATCTACAATGTACATGTAGGCATTGAAGGGCGTAGCCCATTCTTCATATGAATGTTTCCAGCTACAATCCAGGGATCACTGCTTTATCTCCTGTTTGGACAAACGATGCAAAACGCAAATTACATGAATAATAGATTATTAGTACGTCATTTGTCCCCAAGGCTGCGTTTGTGTTGAAGGTCGATCAATAATGTGATAATGCAGCGATAGTGCCTTGATAATTTGCCTTGTTGTGACAGCTTTGTTTTTGCCTCTTTCAGCCCCAGCGTGAACTTGCTTTCAGACATTGAATAGAGAAACATTCTAAAAGTGGAACATCTGTAGCTACATTTCAAACCATTGCCAACAACCGTAACCACAAATATGACTTTGATTATATCAGGCTCGATTTTTAACTTGAGTTTACTTATATTTTTAAACCCTAATTTGATTGCTTTATTGAATTGAGTTGAAAAGCATTGAGAAGGATTAGTGTTAAAAAATCCAAAGTCACAGCCAAAAGCTGATATAAAGTGCATTTAGAAATAAGATAAAATGCATTTAAAGATAAAGACCAGTTATGGTCATGTGATTGCATTGTGAAAGAAACGTTGTGGAATCGATCAGAAAAGGTTGATCATCTAGCATATAAGTATTGGTGTGTACTGCAAGGTTCTGGAATCATCAACATTATAAGAAATTTGGCCCAGTCTTGATAAAGTTACAAGCACTGTACACAGAAAGATGTATATGGGACTACGCGACATGTTCGCAATACCTATCAGGTCCAAATAGATATAATAATTTACCAAATATATCAATTAGTAGGCAGTTTCTCTGCAAAATTTGTATCACATATTTATAGTCAAAACATATTCTTTTACATGATTGGTAATAAGAGCTTCCATTTTATTTTTTGAGAGAGGGGCGTTTCCAAAACTGGCCTTTACCTTTAAAACCGGTCCCACTTCTTATCATTCTGTAATTAATAGGTCACTGGCCTGGTTTTTGTTTAACTTTCCAAAGCTGTTAAAAATTCATCTCTATTCCCTTGTATAATTCAATATCTTGTTGTTGTCAACCATCTCATTGTGCGTCATGTTGCACTTTTGACATTTTCCTCCCCCCAGCTTTCCACGTTTTATCTCGGAAGAGTCAGAACATGAATGATTTATCGACCAGCCCTGTTTACACTGGCCACTACGGACCTGAAGTACAAGTATAAGTTGAAGCACATGATTTGGAAGGGAACTTTTAAAAAAAATTGACTTACAATCAAGTGTACAATTTACAATTTTTCTCCATATATTCTATCTAGAACTAATTGTAAACTGCTGTTGATGGTAAAGATGTGATTGATTTAGGGTACATTTAATGAGATTTGATTGAAACTTGGTGACATACATACATGTACATGTATGTGTATAATTATGAGACAGTATTGATGTACATTAAATCTTCATGTTACAGGACACAGATCTGTGAAATGCGATCTCCAAAAGTTGTGTTGTCTGGTTTGTTCTGGTGCCGGTGCTGCATACAAAAAGAGCTCTGCATGTATTAACATACATGTAGCTCTCAAGATAATGGAAACGGCCATGGCTGAGCACTAAACATGTAATGTTAGATTGGCTAGCCGCCGTGAAGGTTGTACTTAATGTATGGGCTTTGAGGCACATATGTGTGCCAGGCAGAAAGAAGAAAAAAAGGGAGACAGTCTTGTATTTCAAAGACATTTATCATGCGTAGAGGCGCAATGTACATGTAGGATACCGGTAGATTGTGGATGAGCCACAAATTGATTGAAAGAGGAAGATGTAGGGGAGAAATTTGGAGGGATCTTGGCATCCAGCCTTGAGCTGTTCAAATCAGTGTCTCCTTTTTAGGCCTGCTCCTTTTAGAGATGTTTGTGGGTCCAGAATTCTAGGAATTAGCATAAAGAGCAATAACAACTCTGTAATTGTAATTTATCATTGAAGTCTCTTTATTGACAAGTCTCTTAATTGGCAAGTCTTGAAATCACTATTTTCATGTCAACAATTATGTCTGAGTAGAAAATGGAAGTAATTGGTGTCTGTTTGAGGAGGAAAAGCTGATTTATTTTAGACCTTAGGAAAGCTCTTCTTTATATACAGTATATAGAGAAACCTCTTAAAAACAAGCAAAAGACAGAGTAGAAACTATTTTACCTGGAAGGTTGGGGATGAAAAGTTATACCGGGTGTCCTGCAAAATGTGGAGTGCTCTTTTTAATACATATATGTACTGTACAATGGATGTGTCTTTTCACATTTTGCTGCACATTTTGCTGCACATGGTGATTTTTGAAGCGGTGTACTGAGTTACAGTGTGTATTAAAGTGCTTGAACGGAGCTTCCAACTCTTCATTTGTGCAGCTTTTAGTGGCTCATTTGTGGGAATATGTGCACAGCCACACAAGGCACTTTATATGCACTTTCCACTCTTTGTAAATGTTACCTTGTTTAATAGCAGCCTGCACAATGCCTTGCCGGTCTTAGCTGTGCATATTAAAGGTACTATGTCCCTTTTGCAGCCAACCTCAAATGCTGTAGAACTTTGCAGGAAAATATGAATATGTCATGTATGTCCTATCTGTGAAATTTAAACGTTAGCAGTGTCCTCATATTCAAATTATGCAAGGAAACCTGTTTACTTGCTAGACTTCACTGTCAGACACTATTGAGTGACTGACTGGATTTTTTTCTTCTTAATTGGTAATAACATACATGAAAAGAGTTGTGGGTACATGAGCATTTGTCTACATCAATAACCCACTTCTTGTGATGGCCAAGATTAAACTGATTGAATCTTTGCGCAGCATAAAACGTATGACAATTCGGTACAATTGTCTGAAAATCAAGACTATTACTTTTGGGCTCTATAGCCCTAAAGTCGATTTGACAACTAATACTCATTATTTTCCCACTTGAAGACATTTTCAAGCCCAACCTTTTTTAGGGAAGTTTTAAATTAGTATTATCTTTCAAATGCAGTTGGAATTTAACTTTTTCATTTTTTTGGCCTGCAAATGGGACATAGTCCCTTTAAGGCTGTATGGAAATGTGTTCAAAGTGTCAAATTAAAGTGTGTGCCTACAGACTTTTAGCTACCAGTGATGAATTGCAATTTCTAAGTTAAAATGGGCTTCCCGTTCCATATTTTCAAATTTCTACATGTAGCTACTAGTTTGTCCTCATACTCAAGCTACATGTATTTTATGATCATCAGAGCTGCAGTATCTTGGAGCTTCCCAGAGCTACTTGTAAATCACTCACTTTTCCTATGTTTTTTTTCTTCCACCGCCGAGCCTCCCTTTCGTGGACAACCCATTCTTTCAATTTAGATTCATTAGGTTGTGAGATCTACATACAATGTGTTTGATGATAGGAAGATGGGATTTCTTGGGCGATGCAGAAAACAGATGCAAATCTGGCAAAGGAAGGAAACATGGAGGGGGTGATTGGGAAAAATGAAGGCTAACTGTATTTTTAGGGTTGACTTTGATGTTTGAACAGCTCATTTTTTTTAGAGAACCCAGTACTTTCAAAAACATTCATTATAAAATATTCCATCACTTTATCTCTATCAAACATGTAAGCATGCTCAGGTTCCTCTAATTATGTGGTTGGTAGTACTATCATTTCATTGTTGTATTAGTCCTTCATGCCTTGTTCTATCAATAGGATGAAATCATTTCTTTATGAACTCAAGATGACTGCATCATCCGATAGCTTTACAAACACCTATACAAATACACTGCCTTTGTTTAAAATCATCAACAATTCATATCATATCAGTCAAGCCAGCAAATGGTTTATTCTCTTCACTTGTCATACAAAAGTGCATTTTTGTAATGCAATTACACTGCAAACGGTATTGGCATTAATTTTAAAACGGCTCCTTTTGATTTGGCGTATCTACATTTACATTTATATAATCAGGAATTGCATGAGGACAATAGGGTGTTATGGAACATTACAAATCAATTTTTGCTCCTTTCTCCTGCGAATTAGAAAGATATAAAGTTCAAGGTTTTTCACTGGGGTAGAAACTGTATGCACTCAAGGTCACCAATCATTGTCAACTTTCCATCCATTAAATATGCAGACTGCTCAGTAAAACGGTATCGGATGAAATTGGAATGTGTCACTTTCAATACAACTTTGTCATGCATCGAGTTGGGAGAGTTTAATTAAATGTCGTCAGGTAAACATCCCTCTTCCTGGTTACCATGACTTTAGATGGTTGGCGGTCTAATGTGCTGTGAAACGGGGTGATTACGAGCATTAAGGAGCAAATATTGGAAATGTGTTTATGACAGGTTTTCCCCACGATTCAACCAATTAATTTGAAATCCTTTTTTCTTCATTAACTTCACCATGAATAAAAAAGATATGATCTACGTTGGAGGATCACTAACTTTTCTGATAAAATTGGAAAATAGAGTGAATTGACTTTGCACATATTTGCAAGTATGTCTATGTATTGCACTCATACTAATTTGAATAAAGTATGATTTGATGACGACTTTATCTAACCTATTACACTATCTCCTTCTTCTTTTTATATCATAGGATCCAACAGATTCAGCTCCTTGGTCGCGACCTTCGAGGACCAGAGCACGATAAGCTGTGGAATCAACTAGAGGCAGAGATCCACCTTCACAGACACAAGACAGTCATCCGGGCCTGTAGAGGGCGCCGTGCAACCAGGAGGCATGTCCCGCAGCCAGAGGGTCATGTGAGTATGGAGGTCAAGGTCAAATAGAAAGGTTAAAGTAAATGATGATTTGCCATGGATGGTAGTCCAAAGATCTTTTCAGCATCAGAACTTCTCACTTTCTTGCAATACATCTAGTATGGACTTCCCAGTAGCTACATGTAGAAGGTTCTGAACTTGTTTATGACTAAATTACCCCTCCCCCCTTAATGCAGAAACTCCCAGGTTGCTGTAGGCCTTTGATTAAGATAAAAGATCCATGGAAAGGATATTCTGATACATACATGTAGTTGGAGGGTCCATCATGAGACTGAGATATTTTGCTATTAAAGATGAAACTGGTAATGTCAATTGAGAAAGTTTTTCTGTAAAATATGTATGTGCATCTTCCCATTAAGATAAAAAAATATTTGCTTTAGCAAATTTGCCAGATGTATGTGCTTCGTCAATTGTCATTTTTAAATTCTTGGCTACATGTACCTGTACTGTTCACAATTATACAGTATATAAAAAGAGATACAATTTGACATATGACTGTAAATTATTTGCTTTTCATACAGGATACTGCTATTAACAACAGAGGAGTTGGTGATATAAGGACGGTAACATTGGTGAAAGAACCAGAGGAAGGCCTAGGAATGTCCATAACAGTAAGGCTCATGTATATTTTTGTAAAAACAGATTCATAGCCCAAAACATTGATGGCAAAATCTCACTTAAATTGTATCATAATATGGAAGAGGATTTCATTTAAAACACAATACTGCAAGGATTTTCAAAACAAATGTGTTAGAAGTTGAATATTGATGAAAGAATACAAAATTTAGGTTTTTTGCAAACACAGAAAACCCCAATTATGTATTCTTTTTATCCATATTTGTCTTCAAACACATTTTTTTTTTCCGAGGGGGGGGGGGGGGTGGGGTAATTTTTGCACAAGTGTGTCTTAAATGACACCCTCTATCACATTCTCATACTATTTCACTTAAAGTGAAATTTTGCCATCAAATTTTTGGCGAATAAGGTGCTCTCAACACTTCAGAGGGGCTTTAAAAAGAATCAAATATTGATAGTAAATATGCCTCTCACATTAGGATGTCCCTCCTTAAGCCCTGCAATTAATTGTGGTTACACAGAAATAACAGAATGAAAGCATTTACTCCTTCTATTATTGATAACCTTTGCTCACGCAGGGCCTTTGCTGTGGAATTTCCTCCCTCAAGAGACTCGTAATAATAGATCAGTTGAAGTGTTTACAAAAAAAAATCATCAGCTTATAATTAATTATTCTGTCAATTTTGTGTTCTACCATACTTCTCCTCCTTTGTTCATAATGCAGATGCTTTTATGTGTTCTTTTTTTTATTTATTTCACAAGTGTGCCTTTAGCATTTGATTCCAAGTGGATTTTGCACCTTACAAACCTGATATATCATTATTCATTATTATTGTATCCGTCAAGAAGAGGATTACTTCCTTTGATACAGCAATGATACCCCAGGTCCACCGTGTCACATTTCTTGTGTCTGCTCTACTGGCCATATATTTCAACAAATTTTGTTCAGATTTTCATACACGATACTGCTATTAACAACAGAGGTGTATCATGGGCAAATCTGGACACCTAATTTTATTGATGGTGCCCAGTTTCTAAAACTTTTATTAGGCCAATGGCCATAATATATTTATGGTGGGTGTCTACCGTAAATGGGTATGTTACATCCTCACATTTATATTGTAAAACAAGGATTTACTAACATAGTCAAATTATTTGCAAAATTTTTAACAAAGTTGGTTTCTGATGACCTGAAATCTTGCCCAATGTTTTCCCGACATAGCAACAGATATTGTATGCAGACAAGATTCCAAGTATTGTAGCTCATTCATTAATTACATGTCAATGGAATAATTTGTGACTAGGTCGCCAGGAAAGAAACATCCATACTTTTGAATATGTTGTAAAACAGTGTATTCACTGGAGAATGAATTCCTTTGTTTCCGTTGGCTGTAATATAGTAGGCAATGGGCCAAGTGGTGTGTTCCAGTGTGTGCCATGAAAAAGAACAATCACTGACTTCCATCTCTGTTCATCTCTTCTCTTCTTCTCTTTGCAGGGCGGTAAGGAACACGGTGTTCCCATCCTGATCTCTGAGATACATCCCAATCTCCCTGCCGACCGTTGCCAAGAGCTCTACGTGGGTGATGCCATCCTCTCGGTCAACGGCATCAATCTCCTTGACATGAAGCATGCTGATGCTGTGGAGATACTCTCACAGCAGGTGGGTTTTGATTTGATTTCTATATCATATTTTAAACATACATATTTTAAACATATATATTTTAAACATACATATTTTAACCATACATAATTTCCATCAGTGTGATATAATTTGTGTTTCAAAGTACAAAACATGATACTCACACTGTATCAAACATAGACAAAACATAGAAGAATATTACTCATGATAGAGAGGGATGTACTGTGTAAGCAACTATTATTAATTAAACTAACCTAAACTGATCTAAACTAAACTAACAGCCTATTTGTAGAGGTGTTGTGGTCATGTGGATACGTCACCGGACTGTCGAGTCCCGCCGCGGCACGAATGTCCTTTGCCAAGACATTGATCTACATTTGCCACACTCAACCCAGGTGAGGTAAATGAGTACCTGGTAGGATTATTCCTTGAAATGCACTGTGCGCTGATAAAGCTGCCGGAGTTAAAGCTAGGGTATTAAAGTCCAAAGCTCTTTGGAAGCGCATAGAGATGTTATTTCATGACGTATTATGCGCTATACAAGAACTGAACTATTACTATTATTATTATAGTATTATATGAAACATAATGAAGAGAGAGAACGACTTGTTTTAAACTTTGTTTCCCCTCAGAGTCTCATTAGTTTTAAGTGAACTAATCACCAAAATGTGTTTTGGCCTTAGTATAAGGGGTTCCATGTAGTTATACTGTATTCAACATGTATGTGCTTCAAATATTGCTTTTCCAAAGCGATTTGACAATTTAAATACATTCTCAGTGAACAGATACATATCTTTTTGAGTAGACTAGTTAATGCATGTGTACGCATTTAGATACAATGGGACACGCATTAAACCCAATTCCTATTTGGGTACGAGCCTTATACGCTGGGTTTTATGTTATCCCTTATCAACTTTGTAGTCCTCAAACGCTTACCTACAGAATGCCAGGTAACTTTTTTGTGACGTTGATTTACTTTCTAGCTATGCACAAATGTCTTATTAACTCTTAAGCTGCCCCCATGCAATGCACCCAGTGCCACAGTGCTAATCCCTATTGTGCCAGCCACTAATCTCCTGTGTGCCAAGTTAATTTAGGGTTGGTTCAAGTGCGTGTAGTTTAAATTGTTATTATGTTTGATCCACTATAACATCTCATCTGTAAATTGTATTAAAAAGAATTGTACCTTAAAGTTGTATAAAATTTAACCCTCTTTCTGTTGATACCAATATCATTTCATGAATCTGTAATTTTGGTAAAGTAAATAAGCACTATCAGTGAGTTGTCAAACCAATCTGTTGTCTCATTTCCCGCACACAATCTGAGGGGCCATGATTAAAACTGACAAATTTGATGATAAAATATCGCAATTTTCTCAGGAAAATCCAATGTAACGGTATATGTGAAGCACGCAAAATCAAAACAGCAATAAACCCCTTCCACAAATACAGTAAGCACTAGCTGTTTGCGCCCGTTAAACGGGCGCTCTTTGATGTGGCAGCCATTTTGCGTTCGTCCGCGGCATCAAACTTTTCAGCCTTTAGCTTCCGTAAAGATTGACATATATAACAATTCTATTTACAATTGTATTTATAATTGATTTCATCATGAAATAAGCTAATAAATATCAAATTAAGACTTGACTGATTTAAATTTAGAATATTATATTTTAATTAAAAATAAGCTAATAAATATCAAATAAAGACTTGACTGATTTAAATTTAAAATAGACCTATTATATTTTAATTAAAAATATTGATTGATATTCATAAATTTCTGTGTTTGCGTGGCGAGCTTCTTTTCGGTCATTTTCTTCGCGTACGCAAGAAATACAGCTCCGTTATTCATGAATGAGGTATCAAGTTGACCGGAATCATTGTCCGAATACCTGTAAGAAACGTCAATTAAATATATCAACCGGTTCAATTTAAAAAAATAAAATAAAAAAATTCACTTCAGCTCAGAAAATACAGCATCTGCTGCAATTACGGCCGGTTTTAAGCCCCAGAGTTCTGGGGAAGAAAAGGGCTAGAGATAGCTATGATTACTGATTAATTTTTTCCATTAAACATCACATCCTATTTCTACTACATCACATATACATGTATATATAAGGTCTAGGCCTAGAATCTAGACGATTTTTATAACGCTGTTTGACCATGAATGACGCACCGTTTTGATGAAGGAACTGTATCATAGTAAAAGTATTCTATCCAGCTATAGACAATGCCAATGGCTATGTTTTTAAACGACCGTCTGATTTTCTTGTGAAAACTTTACTTTGAAAAATGATTATCGAAATTTAGCATACAACTATACATGGACAGAATAATCACAATCTAAGCTCAGGTTTCATACCTCTATAGTCACGAAACTATATTGAAATATAGGGGCAATAAGAGCAATTTCAAAATGTTGTCGAGTCTACTCTATAATAGCTCAGCTCAGCTCACCTCACCTCACACACAGTCACAGTTCCGACAGTGCTCGGCAGCAGTGGCGCACTGCACTGCCTGTGCCTCATGGCAGCTAGCTTGCAACTGAACTGTCAGTTACGATGAATTTCTTGTGAAAACTTTACTTTGAAGAATGATTTTCAATATTCAGTAAACATGAACAGGATAATACCAAAGTAACCCTGCTTGCATACCTCTATTCACGTAAACTATAATTTGATTAGAGTCAACCCACACACAGCGTGCTCTGTCTACAAATACGTTAGCGTGGATGTGTCTGGAAAGGACATTTTGCTGACCAAATCATACAGATACAGATATATAAATCACGGCAATCATCATAGAATCAAAGACGAAGCGACTGAGCTGTGCGTGTGACGGTGAGCGTAGAATCATCGCATACATTATACACGTACGTTCGTACACGCAGCAGGTCCGGCTGGCCTACAAAGCATATCATATAAAAAGACGCATAACACGGGTAAGCCCAACCCGTGAGAGCGTGCATTTCTTACATCCCCTCACCCGGGTGAGTCATCTGTTAATGTGTATTTCTCTTACATGCTACAAAGCGTATCCTATAGCAAGAGGCCTAAACTCGGGGTAAGCCACAACCGTTACTACGTGATGTGCTACATCCATTGACAGAGTAGATTCTCGTCCGCTGTGTGTCTCTTTGTTGATTGCACAGAGGGCGGATGCACGCCTTGCCGACTCGCTCTCGCGGGTTCGTCGCCTCCTTGCAATCCGCGACGCCCGCCGTGCCCTCGTCCGCCCGTCCTCCCCGGGACCCCGAAACCGCCTTTATCGACGTCGACGGCGACCACGACCGAAGATCGAACGGGGACGTGGCCAAATGGGTAGATTAAAACGTCGTCCGTCCGCGGGACCGCCCGGCGGCGACCGGGGGCGGGCGGGAGGGGAGATTTGGGCGCTGTAAAATGGACCCCAGATACCCCCCTCGACGCCTTAGAGTATTATTATATAGATTCATGCGTGCACGCAATGCGCATCGCACAATAGGCATAAACAATTAGCGTGTGTACTTATGCATGAAAATGTGTACGTGGCACGCGAGCGAATGAGAGTTTATGTGTGCATGGCAAGTCAACAGAAACCCTATTATGTGAGCGTGGCACGCCAGCGCATGCACAGAACAGTGTTCTTGGCACGATAAGAGTTAAGGTGATTTGTAAATTTTAAATCAGGGTTTATATCTGGTTTGGTTTGGGTTTTTTTTCCGTTTATATAAATTTAAATGAATACAATTTACAAATGAAGAATTAAGAATTAAAAAACGGCTGAAATGCTCTATTCAGAGCCATTATTAAAATGGCTCTGTTCTTCCTGGAGGCCTAATAGAGTCCTTTTTTCCCCTCAAGTCCCAAGTTGGTGTGATGGATTCATTTAGCTGAAGCATGGTGGCAGGCATTAAAGGGAAATCAAACGTTGATAGCAAGCTCATCTAATAGAGAGCAGAAAAATCAGAGAACTACACTGTACACTTGTGAAGGTCTGAACGAAATCGGACAAGAAAGTTATGAATGTCTGAAAGGAAACACGTTGGCCCGAATTTACAAAGCAAGGTTGGAGCTCAAACCTCCTTTTGTTCTTTACAAACCAGGTTTGTAAAAAACGCTTAAAACGCGTCATATGATGTACGAAAACCAAGGTTTGTCGACAAACCTCCTTTGTGAATTCGGGCCTGTATGTATGGGAATGTTAAATTGGAAATTAATGATATTTTTGTACATGACGAACAGGAGAGTTATCCATGACTATGCCACAATCCACTGACCAAACTGCCAATTAGAGATTGCAGAGACTTTGTAATCTCCAATTTCACACAATCATAACTATTTCATTATTGTTCCAATTTACTTCAAACTTGTGCCTTCCAGTTTTCTTTATTTTTCTGCCATCATAAAAAAATTAACTTATTTCAAGGTTTGGATTGCCCTTTAATAAGACCATGGGTGGTATTCCGGTAGCGCGTACTTAGTTAGTTCATACTTTTATGGAGTGCCTGTTGCAAACTAATTTACCCTGTACAGATTATTTTAATCCTTCAATGAAAAGTGTCCAAAAAATTAATGTTGCAATGAAATGGGAGGAAAAATATATTATGAGTATGAAGTAAATTTCAACAAAGTCTTTGGTGGATTATCTTTGTCATGAATATTGAAGGAGGAAGGTGAAACCTGGCATTCCATAGAAGTGTGAACTAAAATTCTTGTTTAGTCTGGACTTAGTCCCGGCTTAACTTATGAGAATACCACCCATGTTTTACTAGTCCTCTTTGTGCATAGATGTACATGTAGTACCTCCTTTTTAAACCAAACTTGGCATTTTTTTCTTTCTTTTTTGCCATTCATCATGTGTTGTTACTCTACCTTTGATATTTAAAATGATTTTGTCATCCTTCCTTCTCCCTTCTTTTATCACAGGATGGTGAGATCAAGCTGAAGGTCCAGTTTGTAGCTCCAGACTCTGACAGTGACGATGATGAGGAGGAGGATGAGGAAGATGATGAGGAGTATGAAGACGAGGAGGAAGCTTTCATGGAAAATGGGTACAGGTATGATCTTGGTATACACGTTACAGGCTTACAACGCACAAGCAATGACAAGGAAAATGTAGAGGACATGGGTAGGATAGGTCCCTGAGCAAGGCATTTTATATTCATTAGGTATATCTGTCGAGATCAGCTCGAGATTGCCAAATCGCCCGCTATTTCTGATTTGGGAAATAAGCCCAAAGTTACAAATCGGGTCTTCATCAGCGTTCACACATAATGTGAGTCTTCGGGCTGGTGAAGACGCACCAAACAAATAGCGGGATATTTTGCAAACTAGCCCAAGATATCTTTTGATGATTATCTCTACCAAATCTCCTGCTAATTGCAACTGCGGGCTGATGAAGACGCAAAGTAGCTGGATAATTTGCGATCTGGATAGTTAAAATAGCTGGTTGTTTGGCAATCTCAAGCTGATGGAAACAGGCCTATTGCTTCTCTCCTACCTAGTGATGGGAAAGTTAATGTGCTTGGATTAGCATGTGCACACCTGGATAATAAGGCGACAGACTGGAATGCTCCCTAGTCAGGTGGAGAGTCTGCGCTGGAAAGTGGAGAATCGTAATTGAATCCAGTGACGGTGGTAATGATAATGCTGTGGAGAGCTTTATAACAAACAGTAAGCACTCATAGCATTATTATTATCAAAAGATATATTAGTTTGTTTAAGAGCTAAAGGGAAGAAGGTAGAAGATGGCAGGTTTGCTGAATAGGCTACTTGAAAAGAGTTAAAAGCTATTGTTAATCTTTGAGAAGTAGCACCTCCTTGCCCCCAAAAGAGATGAAACACACGCACACAAAAAAAATACATGTAAGTTCTTAGAGATAGATGATGAAGAATCCTTAGCATTACACATCAGAGAGAAGAGGGGCTGTCGAGACAGGGAAAAATTTATAGTACGTTGTTATCAAGTTCTAGTGTGATGAATGCAATTTATTGTATATTTCTGGCCAAAGCACCGACTTTACAAATAATGTTTACCTTCAGGAATTCTGACAATTAATGCCTCAAAAGGGCAAAATAATATGTTTTTGTTTTTAAGACATATGTCCTATTACTCCTCTGTAATTTTCTGAAGTTGAACATTTCAGCAGATACAGGTCCATGTAGTTTAAAAGATAAACTTTACGAAAATTAGTTTTTGTAATGATCAAATAACACACTTATGGCAGGTTTGATAATGCTTTTATAATGTTTTTAGTGCTCTATCTGCAGTCTCGAGTTTTTACAAGGATTACCATTGTCTCCCATTTCCTCAGTAGATACAGATCAGCTTCAGAGGAGACGTTACCGAACGGACAGGAAGAGAAGCGTCCTCTACGGCAAGGCGCAGTCAACAAAACACCGCAGAGGACACCATCAAGTTCATCTCAATCAGGGCCCAGGCAGGATGCAAGCACCAATACCTCCACTACATCCACAGTAGCGACAAGTCCACCAACCCCTGAGCAACAGCAGGATAATGTCCAACAAGCTCCAATTTCATCTCCACGAAAGCAGCCTCAGGTATCGAGTTCTGCACCAGCAACTCCTGAAGAGCAAGCAAAGGACATTTTGGTTACCCCACAAAAACAGGCAGAGGCATCCTTACCACCAACTCCTGCAGCAAGCGCTCCAGCAGCTTCACAAGAGGCAGAGAGCAAGACGTCCAGCGAGGCGGAGCAGCAAGCGGAACAGGCAAAGAGCCCAGAGGCATCACCTGCAATGTCTGCAGGGTCTGCAACAAGTGGCACTTCGGAGGGTCAAAAGACACCATCGACCAGTCCCTCTAAAGATGACTCGGCCAAGTCTACTGGGACCATCAATTCACCCATGATGAACGTTGGTACCATGGCTGCACATGCCATCCAGTCATATAGCGGATACAGCGAGGAGGACGCAAGTGACCATGTCTTCTCTGGCTAAATTCTGCAAGACAGATGGTAGAGGACGAACGGTAGAGGACAAACACATAAAGATGCGATTTAGACAGAGCTTTCATGTATCGCTCGAGTTGATATAACCAGAAAGGCATTCCATCTGTGTACACTGCAAGGTCTTATTGTCAAACACACGTTAGCATCTGGAATCTAGATCAGATGGACCAGGCTCAACTAAATTGACCTGCTGAGAACTTGGGAAAGGACAGCGGTGTTACAGATTTTCTCTGTGATGCTATGGTAGGAGTTCATGTACCATTCAAAGAGTTGTGGTGTTCCACCCTTTGTGTAATTGTGTGACATGGTATCTGTGTACTATCTGAGAGACTTTGAAATGAAGTTGGATATGAATCATTTTAATGAAAAGATTATTACTCTAAAAATATGTGTCATGTTCTAGAACCTGTTTCCAAATTAAGTGTTCGTGAAGTAATAACCTGAGATATATGCTCCTATAGAAGTACATGATTAAGAGACGGATAATTTCCTTCTGCAAAGTTTGTATGATAACTTTATTAATACAAACAAATATTGTTAGAAAGGTCATTATGAAGGGTTATCTCTACTGCCCAAACATGATGGATATCTAGGATATTTCAACACATTCATGATAAGTCTGCTTCATTTCTATACATTTACACCAGAGATGACAGTTTGTTTTAGAGACAGGAATAATTAGCTGTGCTTTCATTGATGTATCTAAATGTTAATGCTGGTGGTGTAGATGTAGAAACTCATCAATATTTTCATGTATTCTGGAAATTATACAATGATAAATGGCAACTCAGAGTGTAGTTACCCCTTCGTTAAATTCACAAAGGTTATTTACTCTTCAAGCATCGGTAATACCTATAATTATCACTTAAAAGGTACTGTGTCCCATTTGCAGGTCAAAACAAAATGAAAAGGTTAAATTTCAACAGCATTTGAAAGATAATACTAATTTAGAACTTCCCTAAAAAAAGGGGGCTTGAAATTTGTTTAAATGGGAAAATAACGACTATTAGTTGTCGAATCGACTTACATGTAGGAGCTATAGAGCCAGTAAGTAATAGTCTGATTTTCAGACCAATGTACCGAATGGTCGTACGTTTTATGCTGTGCAAAGATTCATTCAGCTTAATTTTGGCCATTACAAGAAGTGGGTGATTGATGTAGACTTTACAGATTATTTGATGTATATTATTACCAAGGAAGAAAAAAAGCCAGTCAGTCACTCAATAGTGTCTGACAGTGAAGTCTAGCAAGTAAACAGATTTCCTTGCATAATTTGAACATTAGGAAACTGCTAACGTTTAAATTTCACAGATAGGACATACATGACATATTCATAATTCCTGCAAAGTTCTACAGAATTCGATGTTGGCTCCATATGTACATTCTGCATTAGAATTTGCCAATTTGATTATTAAATTATTATTTACATGTATGTGAGAAGTACATATATAATGATTTATTTTTTGTATTCAATATATTTCATAATCATTTAGGGTAGGATAGAATTTAAATATCAGATAGTATTACTAAATCCAAATCTATCACATAATTTAGAGGAAATGGGTGAAACCGGTTATTTAATAGGACATTATATTTATATATTTTGTTTGATGATGCAATATACCGATTTCTTTCTTTTTTTATCAACTTTTTGTCCAGAGTATGTTTTTTAACACTCACTGCTACCTTTTTTTAAGAAGAAGGAATATTTTATGCTTGCTGATCACTACATGATAAGATTTTAAAAAGTTACAATTCAGAGCCAGCGCTCATAATCATTACTTTCTGTTCTTTTATAATTTTAATGAATGAAATATAAAGTCCTTTCAAATGTATCATTTTTGTGCCTTGGTTTTAAATATAATTTCTACGCAATTTCTATGTTTTGACACTTTGACATCTCATTGAAAACAGGAATCAGGTATTAACAATAAAGCAACGCAAAACACAGTCTCATTGCACAGAATTAATTTGCCAATATTTTGTTTTTGTAAATCCACAGTGAATTGATTGTTTGAAACGTCAGATACGTACTTGTGTGGTCAGTTGTGATATATACATAATAAAAATGGATCAGTAGATGTTACGAGCCCTAAATGTACATGTATGTCCAAGCTGCCTCAGCTGCACAGCATTTTAAAGATTAATAATAATGTACCTGTGCCGCTGCTTTGCATAATACAAACAAAAATGAAAATCAAGGCTTGTAAATGTATCAGTACAACAATCTTTATATTTTGTACAGGACTACAATGTCTAATTCTAAATTTGTTGCTAAAGCCTCGGTCACAAATGCCATTACGAACGCTGACAAACGATTTTCAGACAATAGAAAAACAGGGAGATTCGTACAAAATTATCGTTGGTATGAAAGTTTGTGACCGTAGCATTAGATTTCTTTTAGCTTTTGTTTTTGTTAAAAGTGATTTTAATACCGTCCAACAAAACTGGTAGGTTTCTACTTGTCCACTTCAGTATAGCATAGCAGATACATCCTTCAGCATTGTCTATCAGTCCTTCATGTCTGTTAAACCTTGAATATGAAATACTTTTTGTAAATTAGTTTGAGTTGTGTATTTAAAGTCTTTTAAATAGGATTTTAATTTCAAGAGGCTTTCCAAGGAATATATATTTGATCAAAAGAACAGTTTTGTATTATTTTTGTAGCAAACAAATGCATTGCATGCATTACTCTTGTTAATTCATGATTTGAATATGATTTTGTGAATTCATATATATGTATGAAATAAATTTAGGAAATGTTGAACTTAAAAAGCAGCTTTATAAGAATTTAATATTAAATGAGTAGTATTGAGTACCCACTTACACGTTTGTAAAACAGAGATAACTGATTCTTAATCCGAGATACGGCTTGACAATCATGGTAGCGTACAACGAGACGGACTGGATGTGCATACAAAATGATAAAATAACACTAAAGCTATTGCACATGACTAGGGCCCTGTTTCATAAAACTTGTTATCGATTTCAGTAGCTTTTAACCGTTAATTCAGAGCTGCCAACCATTACGTTTTTCCTGGAATTATTATGTTTTTTAAATAACTATCTTTTTTTTTTACATACCGCACGTCAAACAACTGCCCTTAAATGTTGATTTGATCACAAATTCAATAGAATACTAACATTAAAACATCTTGAAGAGAAAAATATTCTCAAAAAGAATGAAACGCCGATAACACCAAAATAACAACAACAAAATATCTACTTGCAAATAAACTAGGTCCTAATATGGAAAAAACAGCATGAGGAATGGCAATTTCTGCATTGGAAGTGTGTCGCGCATTGTTTAAAAGGATTCCTTTTTTTGCTTGAAATTCCTTTTTTTTTTTTGCCATCATGGTTCCTTTTTTGGTCGCTCAAAGTTGGCAGCCCTGCGCTATTGTAACTTGTTGTCAGTAATGCGTGTTATAAAACAGGGCCCAGTAATGATCAGTTATTGCAGAATATTATCTTGAAAACTAGTCTCTGTATCATTACATGTAGGTTATCAGTGTTTCCACTTTCAATTAACTTCTGTCCCTGCGTAGCATAAATGGAATGGAAAATCACTATATAGCCATTTTTTATTTTTTGTTACATATAGTTATATTTGGTAATGTCTTCAATGCATGTGTGTGATGGTAGCATATAACCTAAGACATTGCATTTACATTAAACATTCCTTTTGACACAATGAAGGAACTCCATAATTATTTAGGACTGTACATGAAAAGAAGTAAAAGATTAATGCCAAAAGAAGTAAAAGACTGCGGCACAGAGTGTCTCAATATTACAGCTGCAATTCTCGAATATCAGCATTCCAGCCAAAATGGATACAGTTGGTCATTTCTGATTTCTGCCAAATGTGCTGTACAAATCATTAGGGCCATTTAACCAACAGGGAAGTTAACAGTTCTTGTTAAGCCATCGTCAGATATTATGTGAATGAAGATTTAAGTAAAGTGAATTCTTCATAACCTGAATTTTCATGAATAGGCTATTTTTGTAATGTAAATTGCATACATTATTTTTTTGCTAGGTAGGACAAACAAAATGGATTGCCCTACCTAAATAAATTTGTAATATAATTTTGCAAGTTGCATACCGACTATTGAAATTCAATTATTTGTAACAGGTGAATTAAATAATTTGTATCAAGGCATTTCACAAAGACTAAATTTAAAAAAAAGAGTCTTATTGTTATTGTGTTGCAATAATTTACAATTTTGATATATTTGGATGCCCCTAATGATGTAATATAAGCACTAGAAATACAAAACCCTTCTGCTCTCGAGAAATTGAATAATACAAAATTTACCTGTGCTTCCGGTAAATTTCAAATATTTCAAATAGCGCCTAAGGCCATTCCGTGGTAGCTGCGACCATGAAAATCTCAGGATATGCAGTTCCGATCTATAATTTCCAAACGGGAATAGCGAATCGGTTGATTGTAGTCCGGAAACATTGTTTTAAAGCTTAAGTAATACCAGTCTTGAGAGGGCGCTATACAACATAAAGAGTTTAACATTTACAATTTTATCACTTTAGACTCGATTTCAACCGCGACAACAATCATTGAATATTGTAAAATTGCATATGCTTCCAATATGTTTATTTGAACCAAATTCATGACCCCATACCAAAACTTGATGTATCAGCAAATTTTGGCAGTTGAATTATACTGAATTCTCTGGATGTCAATACAACACAAAATAAAAAGGACCTATTCAGAATGTTCTGAATAATGTTGGATTTTGCTGAGGCTGCAGGCTGAGGTTGAAATGTTAGTGCATGATGGGAAACTCTGAATTTGATGTAGAATATATGTTATATGGAAGATATGTATAACTGTATAACAAACTGTTGTGTGTCACATGATAGCCTATCAGCCAATTGGGTGCTCTCAAACGAATGCCCTATTCTTGTGTGTAATATCATGCTTCTGTATGGGCTTTCTAAAAGATGATGTCTTTGTAATTTGTAAGCAAATCTTTACTGGTATACATGTATTATTTATTTCAGAAATAAGAGTTTGATTCGCATTTCAAAGATTTTCCTGTTGATATAAAGTCCTTCCGAGCTTCATTAATTCTTCCAGTTTCAGTTACAATGAATATATAGTTTTGGTTTTTCTAGAAGTTGATTATATGGAGAAGAAAAATGTGCCCTTTCCAATGTATGTAAATACATTTAATAATGTTAAAGTTGGTGTCAGGCTGTTATGTCATTATACATGTATGTACAACATGTGCAGTATAGGGTCCACTCGCTATATGAATAATGGTCCTTACCCTGCAGTATAACACACACCAAAAATATGTTGTCTTGTTGTGAAGGGGATCATGCAGAAATAAGAATGTTCCTGAAAACAAAAGAAGAGAATAAATTTCAATATTGCCATGATTAAAAACAAACTCAAATCAAGGCGTTAAAATTATCCAGGGGTTAAAAAAAAATCTGTCAACAGAAACGCCATGAAAGGATAAAAACCCTCTAGTTCACCTCTTTGTAGCATATGGTATTGGGGGAATAAATCAGGTTGATTCTTATTTCTGCATCATCCCCCAAATATGTGATGTAGGGTGTGAAGTGTGCATATATGTGTGTGCATTGTGCAATACATTGATAAATAAGTATATATTCCAGTAGCATATCATTAGATCGCATTTTTGTATGAATATTGTAAGGTTGATGGTATTTATGGTGAGTCTCCATTAAATTATGTTTCTACATGTAAGTAGAAACATAAAGCAACAACATCTAGAATGTTACTAAAGTGCTTCTTTTTCCAGTATTTGAAAATATTAATTTCTAATAATTTACAGTAGTTCGTCTTTTGAAAATTCATGAATTTTGGCCTAAAAAGATGGGATTATTAACCCCTTGCCATTTTGTCACA